TCGTATGATGGTATCTCAGCTGTGTCCGTCAGCCACAGGTGTGGCATCAGCCGTGGGCTATCAGGGTCAGTCGATCTGTCCCACCTGTGTGACTCCCACAGAGACTGACTGAGGGGCTTTCAATGCTTTGACTCATTGATGTACGATTAGTTTAAGGAGCTCTGAAAGTTTCCATGAAGACGTTTCAGTTCTAACAGACCGGAGTGTCCCCAAGAGGGCTGTGGACCCACTATTGATCCTCTACCTATCACACGAGCCAAGGTGTGAAGATGGGTGTGGGTCACAATCAGGTGAACCCACTGTGAGATGTTGCTCCACCGTATCATGTGACTTACTGAGATGTGAGTGGGTGTAATCCAGCTCTGAGATCCTTCCCAGACGCCTTAACGGGCTCTCACAACTCTCCACGATGACCTGGATGGCCGAGAACCTTCACAGACCTTCGGTTAGCTAAACTGATCAGAGTGGGGTGGGCCCACTCAGAGCCAAGTGTCATGTCCACACCGCCTGCCTGTAATTGAATCCACAGCGAGCAGGTTCCCACTGTGAGCTCGAAGCTTTCAGGCCCCGGGGGTCTGCAACAAATACATTATTAATGTGCATCATGGCCTCACGTCCTGCACGCTGCTTTAATAACGCTCCACACCTGAGCTCAGCCTCTGCAGCTGAACGCTCTTCAGGCCTGCTGCTGCCCCCGCGGGACCCCGACGCCCCCCGAATACTAACTCAGCCTCTGATCGAGCAGCTGAAAGGACACAGGCTCTGAGTGGGAGAGAGAAGCCGCCCTGCGTGCCAGATTTCCTGCGAGCCTACCCGAAACCACCACAGACTGAACCCATGCATCATTTACCGCACATCCTGACTACAGCCGGGAAGCTCCCAGGATAACCCGGCACCACCAACATCGGGACTCCTAATTCAGACCCCAGCAGGACTATATGTGAACTGTAAACTAATCCTGCTGTGGGCACCTGCCTGCTGCGTCACTCACACCTGAGAGTCAGCTGTGCTGAGCGGTGGAGGTGGCGATCCTCCAACACCTCACTGCTCATTAGGAACGACAGCGGTGCCTTCAGGTGTTGTGGGACATCACAGTGACGTGACTGAGACCCAGGTATTCCCTCCACAGGTGATGTGACGTAGTCTGTGCCTTTATGGCACTCCAGCTGGAAACGACCCGCGTGCTCACCGCTGTTAATCATCCTGCACGCACGTGCTCTCTGAATATTACATGAACGAGCTCCACGCTCCATCCAGCAGGAAGAATAACACACGCCAAAACCAATTAATAACTGATCAATAATTAATAACTCACAGCTTCAGACCAGCCAGAGAAATGATCTGCATCCAACAGCACGAGCCCGCTCACACACAAACACACTTTCAGGGTTTCAGTAAGGACACGGTCTTACCGGCTCTGCAGCTCCGCTCTGAATGTCTCTGCAAGCGCTGCTGCTCTGCCTCCTGCCTGCCCACACACACAATCTCACTCTGACACACACACACACACACACACACACACACGGTCTTTATGATATCCGAGTGGGAACATATGAAAGTGTCCACACAGTCCACAGCTCTGCTGCACACAGTCGGCATCAGCAGACCTCAGGGGGAGTCGGCCCCTCCTGGCGGAGATTCATGAAATGAAATTAATTAATAAATAAATAAAGTGCTGGGAAGTGGGGCTGGGGGGGGGACTATAGAATAACACATTTTCAGAGGGAAGAAAGAAAAGGAACAATTCTTAAGAAAAAAAACAATAGAATAAAATAGAAATGTTTACATTTTATCGTGTTAGCTGAGTTTATTCTGTTTTGGAGTTCAGACCAAGGAAACATGAACAAAGGCAAATCCAATGAAGACAAAGTGAGCGCCATCCTGAGCACGACTTCTGATATCATCTGATATCATTGGAGCTCCTCCCCTGCAGAAGGACAGATATTTTTCTTCTGGAAGTTTTCATCGTGGCTTCGATGAGGACCTCCACCGGTCAGATCTCCACACACACACTATGCTCGAGGAAAAAGGAAACAGGAAGTGATTCAGGCGTCTGATGGTGGCCTCAAACCTGAGGCGGTTAGTTTCAGCCACAAACACGTTTGCGTTCTCAAACGTTTCGGCGTTCTGGTCCCAGTCCACCTTGTTGAGCTCCAGTTCACCATTTTAGTTTGATCTCAGCTGAAGTTTAAAGACAGGCCGTGTGTTCAGCTCCCTGCCCTCCAGCAGGCTCACGCTGCTGAAGGCGGAGCTTCCAGAGTGAGCCGTGAAGGCTGGTGTTGGTGGGTTTGCGGCGTCCTCAGGACGTCTGCCGGCATGGTGTCAGCTCCTCCTGATCCGATCATTACGGCGAAAAGCTGAGAGATGTCCACAGGGGCTTCCGTGTGGGGACAGTCTTCACATGATGTCCTCTGTTGATGCTGAAGACTCAAGCTGCAGCAGGTCAAAGGTCAAAGATACCAGGCAGGCTCACAGTGACAGTGATCCTTGTAGGGAGTATTTACCTGAGCGGAAGCAGAGCTACGAGGACATGAACCTACCTGAGCCGTATGATGGTGCAGGTGTGAAGCAGCTCATTCAGCAGGTGGATGAGCAGCGGTTACACTGAAGGTCCAGGTGAGAGCGCCACCCTGAGGCGCAGTCTGACAGCTTGTGCCGCACGCTCCCTGCTTTTCACCCTGAACACCACATTTAGCATCCCAGTCTTTCTCCAAGGAACGCCTCAGTGTCGTTTAGGGAGCTCAGACAAATGAGAGGACCACAGCTACAAATGTTCTGGCACAGGGCGAAGGTCAGAGGTCACTGTTTCCATTACAGTCACCTGTCCTCTGAATAATCAGCCAATCACCTGCTGCTGCAGTCTGAGGCTGTTCCAGCTGTTAGAAATAAGTTTAACACGGGAGACTCACTGCTGCCTCCGCTGGACGTCAGAGGAACTGCAGCGCTCTGTTTTTATCACACCTGAAGCACAAACACCTGAATAACAGTGACACAACGCTGGGCTCATGGTGCGTTCAGGTGCTGCAGGGCAGAAGCAAAACAACTGTTTCCTCTGCAGGTTTCACACACTCACACACGCGGACTCACACACACTGTGACCCCAACAACCCCAACATCATTGTGAAGTTTGCGGACGACACTACAGTGGTGGGTCTTATCACCAACGGTGATGAGACGGCTTACAGGGAGGAGGTCAACGCCCTGACCCACTGGTGTCAAGACAACCATCTCACCCTCAACGTCGCAAAGACAAAGGAGTTGATAGTGGACTTCCGGAGGTGCAGAGAAGTACACACCCCCATCACCATCAACGGCGCTGCTGTGGAGAGAGTGAGCAGCTTCCGGTTCCTTGGTGTACATCTGGCTGAGGATCTTACGTGGTCAGTACACACAAACAAAACAGTGAAGAAGGCGCAGCAGCGCCTCTTCTTTCTCAGGAGACTGAAAAGATTCGGCATGAGCCCCCGCATCCTCAGGACCTTCTATCACTGTGCCATTGAGAGCATCCTCACTGGATGCATCACCACCTGGTATGGCAACAGCACCGCCTACAACTGCAAAGCTCTCCAGCGAGTAGTGCGGTGCTCTGAACGGATAATTGGAGGTGAGCTTCCCTCCCTCCAAGACATCTACAGGAAGCGCTGCCTGAGGAAAGCGGGGAGGATCATCAAGGACTCCAGTCACCCCAGCCATAAACTGTTCAGACTGCTTCCATCAGGAAGGAGGTTCTGCAGCATCCGGTCCCGTACCAGCAGACTGAGAGACAGCTTCTTCCACCAGGCCATCAGACTGCTGAACACGTCATAGACACCTCAGCTTCACTACTGGAACTTCAACATTATGCACTCCACACTGTATATAAATGCCACTTGTTTTGCACATATTCAACTCTGTATATTTTATATATTTTATTATTATTATTATTTTATTTATTTATTTATTTTTTTATATATATTTTTTTACTATTTAATTTGTAAAAATGTGTATACACACACACACACGTAGGAAAATATTTAGTATACACATCCAGAAATGCATATACTATTATATATTGTACATATATTTATTAGTTTCAGGTTGGCCATTCTTGTATTTTGCTCGTTTGTGTTGTTGTGTTTGCACATCTCTGTTGCTTGTGGGGCTCGCACACAAGAATTTCACTCGCATGTGCTGTGCCAGTGTGCCTGCACATGTGATGTGACAATAAAAGTGATTTGATTTGATGTCACAGCCTCATTTTTATTTTTTAACTTCTGAATCTTTGAACAAACGCTCACAGACGTCTGAAACACAAGCAGCACGCAGAGTCGAAGTAGATCTGCACACGCTCACCTGTTTGCGTGTCCGGAGACGACCGTGGAGTCTCTCACACCAATTGCATTTCAGCGTTCTGAAGGCGACTCTGACGCTGTGATGCAGGTTTGGTGGTGTGGTCACTGATGGGTCAGGTCAAAGGTCACAGTTTGAATTTAACCTGGCGATGCCTGGTGTAGGAAAGCAGCTGTCTGAACACATCTGGCGAGTCATCTGAAACGTTCCCACGACATGAAAAGAGCCCGTCACGGTTACCCGTCTGCAGCCGTGACTCATCTCGCCGTCAGAGAAAGAGGAAATGTGTTAAAATGAAAGTGTCTTGATTCGAGGAACTCAGAGGTCATCAGCCACAGGCGCACTCTACAGGGGGGAGGAGCCTCCTCTGCACACCTGTCCACTCAGACGATCTCACAGCTTTAATTAGCGTTGAGCAGCAAGAGCTCAGGTGGAAGAACGGGTGGTGTTCCCATCAGGTGGTGAGTGGATCGATCCCAGCTCGTCCAACAGCGTCTACGAGTGCGTGGCTGATGAGACGACTACCTGTTACCTCACGCTCCTGACGCAACCTCAACCGTCAGGCTCTACCTTTAAGAGGGAAAACGTCACAGGAAGCAAACTTTCCTGAGCGCTGTGTTGCCAATGATGCTGTGTGTGTCTGTTCAGGTGTGACGAGTGTGACAGAGGTCAAAGGTTAAAAATCTTTATTAGCAAAAAGCTTTGACGTGTTTCTGCTCTCAGCCTCTGAGCGCGTCTGCAGCGACCGCAGCAGAAATCGTCTTAAAGTGAACTACAGCAAATCCAGTTACAGCAGGAACGTCATTGACGCCGCCACTTCCTCTTTCACTTCCTCCTCCTAATGAAAGATGACGCTTCGCGGCGAGCACACAGGAAGTCAGGAAGAAGTAAGAGACCGTAAAGTCGAACTGTTCTTTACGTCGCCCACCTGCTGCATGCACAAGTGATCTAAGTGATGTCACAAAGGTGTCACAGAGGCCCCACCCACCTGCATTAAAACTGTTTATGAGGGGCAGCCAATCAGAATAAAGTTTTCTAACAGCCAGCTCGCTCGCTCTCAGATATTCTTATAATGTGATCTGATTGGCTCGTGATGAAGCCGGAGGATTTAATTGGCTGCTGAGAAATGAGCATGATGTGTATGTATGAATCCTCCCTTGCAGAGGGAGGAGCTAAAGCAGCCTGATTCAGACAGAGCTCAGACACAGAAGCATTATTCTGAGCTGAGACTTATGCTCAGCCACTCTCATAGGTGCAGCAGTAACCAGCAGAACAGGTCGACTTTACAGCAAACACAAACAGAGCAAACGCACAGGTAACATGACATCATCGACCTGCAGCGCCGCCACACACACAGGAAGTCATTTGGTATTTTCAAAGTAAAGTAAAAAAAAAAAAAATCATCAAACACATACAAATTCCAGGAGGAATAATTTAACTCATATCAGCTCAGTCTTCATTTCATAACTCCAGTGTTACATCTTCATCTCTACCATCATCATCATCGTTAATGTAGTGCTTTGAAACAGCAGGTCAAAGGTCAGTCATTAAATATCATCAGCTGTGTGTGAGACACACCTTCAGTCATTGTGCCTCCTCTTCCTCTCCGAAGTGTCTGTGAGCTCAGCCAGAGGGAAAAACACTAAAATCATTCACGTGACCTCTGAGACAAACAGACAATCACCAATTAAGCAAACGAGCGTGAATCCGGGAATGAGGTGTGTGTGAGTTTCTGTGTGTGTGTGTTCCATCTATAATTCACACAAACACCAAACAGTGGCTTTTACAGCTCAGAGGAAACACGTAAATGATTTTACTGTCAGCCACAGGCTCCAAACCTCAGTGTGTGTCTGTGTGTGTGAGTGTTTGAATTAAACCCAGCTGAGCAGGCAGAGAAGCCACAGAAACCCCCCCGAAGACAAAGCCTGTGTCTCTATCATTATATCTATCTGTGTGTGTGTGTGTGTGTGTGTCTAGTGTCGGCTTGGGTTGAGCAACATTTCCAGTAAAGTGTCAGAGCGTTGCATGCTGGGATAGAATCTAAAGATGGATGGAGCAGGGCTGTAATTTAAAAGGGAGGAGGCTCTCCGCCTGTCCTGTTTATCCCCCCCACCACCCTTCCTGTGTCTTTTCCAGTGTATGGCGTGATGTTGGAGGCGGGGAATGTGGCGTCCCGTACATTCAGGCGGCGGTCCTGCAGAGTCCAGCAGTTAGACAGGGCCGCTCGTAGTGTTGTGTTTTGGTGGCTGCAGGGTGGAGGTGAGCAGCGTCTTCTCTGTGTGTTAGAGACGGAGCGTCAGCTTGGCATCACTATAGATTCCAAAAAAGATGTTTTCAGGAAACGTCCCGCTCCGGTAAGCCCCGCCCCCCTGTGGGGAGCGCTGGTAGTGTCATGGCATCAGCAAAATCTCGGCTCCATCCAGTCCTGCATCCACCGCAGAGAGATGATCATGTGACTGCCTCACCTGTCCACTTATTTACTAACAGGAAGTGAAAGGGCGGCGTTGCTTCAGTCTCACTTCCTGTCTCTGAGGCTGGATGCAGGGCGTGGTGCTCCGGTATTTAGACGCAGCCGTACTCGTACCACACCGTCTGCGGGTCGTTGTTGGGGTCAGGTGACGCCGGCGTACTCTTTGGGCGTTCCACAGAGCCACACCTCCCACTCTCGCCATCCTTCTTCGTGTGGGCGGAGTCGCCCAACCGCCCCTCCCTCGGGACCTCTGCGTACTCGGGGGTGTCGTCAGGCTGCGCGGCAGGCGTCGCTCTCACTGGGGTTACCATGGCAATTTCTCCACGGTGAGGGCCGTTTCGGGAGGTGGCGCTCCACCCTCGGTCCCGCTCTCGCTCCGCGTAGCGCTCCGCCTGCAGGTTCAGGGAGGCGGAGTGGTGGATGGGCGGGTTCAGGAAGCTGCCATCTGCGTGCTGGTTGGACAGAGCGGTAAAACGAGCCGACAGCGGCCGCTCTCTCCCAGTGGTCCCACCTCCTTGACGGCGCATCACGGCGTCGGCCTGGCCGGGGGAGACGTCGTGCCCTCTGAAGCTGTCCGGCCCGTTGGAGCGCAGCAGGTCGGCCGAGGCCAGGCTGAAGGTCCTGCTCAGTGATTGGCTGCTTCTCTGAGCCGAGGCCGGCGACTGGCCCACGGGCTGACGGGGCGAGGGCTTCACACTCTGTCCCGGCCTCTGATTGGACGACTGCACGGTGGGCGTGACGTAGTTGGTGGGCGTCGCCTGATCGCTGCAGGCAACAGCTGAGGGGGCGGGGCTTCTAGCAAAATAGTCCGTCACCAGGTCCTCTCTGCTTCCTGTGGACACCTGAAACCCAGAGAAGCAGTCAGGGCGGGGCTGACAAAGGGCAAAGGTCAAACACACCTGAGCTGTGACTGAGAAGCCGGGAAAAACAACGGGTCGCTTTTATAAACAATGACCTCTGAAGCGGTTGATAACGGCGTGATCAGAGCACGTGCAGCAAACCGAAACACGGCGAATATAAATGCTTCAGTTAGAAACCGCCGCCGTGCCTGCCTCCACCCATCAGCTGCACCTGAACATATCAACCACACCGTCAGTGTTTTTCACGCACCGTCCTGCACGAAACACCGAGCTTCAACGAGAAACATCTGACCTGCTGAAGCAGCAGAGCTTCCTGTTTTACTGCCGCTCTGCTCTCGGACGCTCGAGGCGCCGACTCACTAAAACACCGAGGGCAGCAAATATGTGAGTGCAGCGCTCACAGCAGCAGCAGGGGATCTTCAGGCTATTTATCAGACGTTATCATCATCGAGCTGCACACCACACAATCGTGACATCGCTGCTCCGAACACTTTGATCTGCTAGAAACAGGAAGTGTGCTGACACCGCTGTGACGTCACGAGTTCATCTCTCAGGCTAAAGCTTCTCACAGTGTTACTCAGATTCACTGAATCATCACGTTTCAGTCTCACCTTTTGCTGCTTCTAATAAAAGTATGTGTGTTATCTGGTTGCTAGGTTACTCTATCCTCACTGAAGGTCATATTGAAACTCAGGCTCAACAGGAAGTAACGCAGGACGTCCTCGCTCTGACTCCTCAGGCTGGTCTAAACTGACGTGCACTAAAACACAAAGCTCCTGGTGTGAGACTGAATGTCACGTCTGCTCTGTGGGCAGGTCTGAGGTCAGGGGTTCAAAGGTCAGAACGTCTTCAGCGTGAGTCTCCCCGACCGAAAGCTCGCCTCGTGTGATCAGCGGCGACGGCGGCGTGTGTGCAGAAATATGTGCCTCATGTCTCACCACAGGAGGAGACTGCAGGTTGCTCTCCTGCAGGAACTCTTCCAGCGTCACCATCTCACTCCCAGGAGAAGCAGGGCGGGTCTTGCTTCTGACCCCGCCTCCACGCTGTGGCTGGGCCCTCTGGGGTGCGTGGTCATATGGAAGGGTGGAGCTTCGCGACAGGGTCAGCTGTGATTGGCTGAGACCTGTGACGTCGTCACTGGAGAGGCTGGCAGAGCGGCCCTGGCGTTCTGAGAAATCTGAAAAGAAAGTACAGCTGAGTGCGGCGAAAGTGGGAAAGGTGACATTTGTGCCTGTAAACTAGCCCCGCCTCCACAGATCACCTAGTCCCACCTCCAAAGTTTAGCTAGCACAGATTTGACCTGAAGTTCTTTAATTTCATTTCTCAGAGACTCTGTTGCAACACACCTGAATACCCTGAGTCCTTCTTTAGTAAGACGAAGCTGAGGCAGCGAGCTCTAACTCTGTTTGAGTAAACGTTTGGAAAACTGCACTTCTACAGCACTTTTATTTCACCATGTTCATTCACTCATGAGCTGCTGTAACATGAATCAAATGGCTGAATTCAGCACGTAGTCAGGTTCGTCAGTCTTGCTGACGACCTACTAAACGTGACCATGTGTGTTGCAGCAGAGACACGCAGCCCTCGAGGAGATCGAGACTCCTGCTCTGTGCAGATTTAACCAGGTGTGTGTCTGTACCTCTGCAGCTCACAGGTGAGTTGGAGCTGGACGTGTTGTGGCTGAAGTCGGCCGACCCCGGGCGACCTCTGAACGCCGGGTCCGAGGCGTTGTGGCGCGAGTCTTCGTCCAGTAACGGGCCTGTAAATATGACCGCAGCGTCACACGTGCAGTGTTTCAGACTTCTACAGCTGCTCTGAGTAAAACAAAAAGCCGGCCTACCTCTGGGCCTGCGCACGGCGATCTGGCCCAGCCTGGAGGCGGAGCTGCCGGTGAAGCCCAGCGAAGACGACGGATGGCTCGGAGTGGAGCTCAGATGGATTTTATGGGTCTGACCTGGAATTAAAACAGACAATCAGGAAGTTCTTGTATGTGCAGTTCCTCAAACCCCAGGAACCATTTTTGTTACAGCGTCGACTCGGCTCGACGTCTGAGCTCAGCTGCACCAGCAAGGCTCAGTTTTACTGTTTTAATGGGCGCTTTTACTCTTTTAGTCAGGACCCACAGACTGCCACAGAGTGGGCGGAGCTCCCGCTCTGTGGGGCAGGAACACCTCAGAGCCCGAGCTGGAAGCCTTCCTCAGGAAGCTGACCTGCACCCTGTGAAAGCACTGTGAGGGCTACGGTACCTGGTCCCTGTGCATCTTCTCCGTTCACGCTTTCGCTGCTTCCTCCTGGTGTGCTGCTGTGATAAACGCCCCGGCTCCTGTCCGCCAAACCTGTGGACCAATTAGAATGCAGTGAGGAGGGATTCACAGCGGCAGGGTTAATATCACTGGAAGCACAGCGGCGTGAGTGGGCGGGCCGTGAGCGTGAGGTCAGCGTCACAAAGAGCAAAGCAGGACACGGCGGCACGCACACACTCACTATGTGACCTGATGACATCACAGCGTGATCAGAGATGGCAGCTCCTGACCTGCATTCGAGGGACAGGACGCAGCTGAAGCAGTGAGAGTGCAAACACACCTGCTGCGTCCCACCTGACAGCGGACACGGTTCGTCAAAACTAAGGACACTGTGCTGTGATCTGACCAATCAGAAGCTGGGGGAGGGCCATTAGCGATAACTGTGACATCTGTGAAGTTTCCATTAAAGCACATCTGCAGGTTCAGGAACATCGCTGTCCAGACATCCTGTCTGATGATGACTTTAAAGACGCTGGTTTTTACTTTCGTGATAAAACTAATCAAACGATGAAACATGACAGCTGCAGCGAGCTGTGCTTGTCTGAGACATGTGACCCTGAGAGCACAGGTGAGCGTACAGGTGAGCGCACAGGTGCAGCAGTTGTGATTCTGTGAGTGTTTCATTGGGCGAAGCCTGCAGGTCTGCGTTAAAGCGGCGTCTGAAGCTTTCTGCTGCAGGAAGTGATGAGAGCGAGTGCCATCGCTACAAATCCACTTAGGACTGAAAACCTTCATGACTTTAAAGACTCACAGCTCAGAACAGACTGCAAGCTACACACAAACGCACACACACACACATACACACACACTCACACAGACACACGCGCACACACACTACTTACTAATAACACTGTCCAGAAACACGGGGCTGCTCGAGGTTGTCTTTAATGTTTTAGTGTCAGAGGTGTGTGTGTGTGTGTGTGTGTGTGCGCGCGTGTGTCACACTGATGACTGTGATGATGAGGATGGTGTCAGTGGGCACAAAGGATGAGGATGATGATGAGGATGTTAGAAATCTCCGTTGGCTAGGATTGGCTGGCTAGCGATGAGGTCGGCTGTGAGGTCGGCGGAGGACCAAAATCGCAGTCGTCTGGTGAGAGAGAGAGAGGGGCGGCGGGTGATGGGGGAGGATGAGGTCGGCGACAGGGAGGAGGAGGAAGAGGGGAGGATCTTGTCTTGACTTTTACTGCGGAGAAATTTGAAGCGTTTTGGAGGAGGAGCTGAGGAGACGGGAGGAAAAGGAAAGGTGAGTAAACGAAAGAAAACACCGACGTGAGAACTTGTTATGGATGAACAGCAGAGATCGTGCAGAGAACCCAGAACCTACCAATCAGAGAGCTCGTCAGAGCTGAGCTCGGCTCACACTCAGGCTAACCTGAAGCTCGGCGCCGCCGCTGCTGCGCAACATTCTCAGTAACGACTCAGGCCTAACGCCTGTAATTACACTGTAATTACCTACACATACTCAAAGGTCATGAGGCTGTACAGCAAACAGAAAAGTAATTGTACTGAAAGTACATTAAAGTACTGCAGTACTGGCAGTAGCTGCCCGAAATCTGGAGTGGATCAACCTTTAACCTTTAGCATCATGCACATCAAAGCAAGTGCGGATATAAATATAATCCACTCCATAATAATCCATAACACACGTCACAGCGTACGCAGATGTGGAAATACTCGACTAAATACACTGAAAGTATCTGTATGTAAATATAACAGATTACACTGAAACCTTTAGTTACAGGGGAACTACGTCCTCACAGGCTGCATTAAAGTGTTCCCAGCTTCAGTGACCTTTAAAAACACCTGACACTGATGAAGGAGAGCAGGGAGGTGAGGAAGACTAGGATGTAACGTCCTGTGTTAAACAGGCTTTTAGCCGAGCTCAGCCCGAGTTCAGAGAGAACCCACAGATGTTAGGAGCATGCACCACAGAGCGAGGAAGAGGACGACGCAGGAGCCGCTGTCTGTGACGACTCATCACATTTTGCACTTGTTGGATCACAAACGTTTCAGTGCCGACCTTCTTACTGTTTATAAATGTGGGCGGAGCCTAAACGATGTCAGTATGTGACGGTTAAAAAACCCGACGCACCCCTCTGTGTCAGTGTGAGGAAGTGTAAGTGCACGTTCAACCCCGGACAAGTCCTGATGTAAGACGTTTCCACAGCACGTCTCTGTTTCTGTGGACAAGGAGTCCATGCCGTCCTGCAGCCATCACACACAAAGGTTTGTTTTCACTTCCATCCAACAGTTTGCTTCACAAAAAACATCTTCTCAAACACATGATCTGTCCTGTTTTGTCCAGATGTGCTGAACAGCTGGAGGACACTGTGGTGCTGCTCATCGTGGACACAGACGTGGACACACGTTCCTGCTCTCAGCGACGGTCCGTGAGTGATTTTAACCCTTTATGACCCACCACAGAACCAAGTCCTCCAGAGTTTATCTTTATATCTTGTTGTTAATGACAAGTAGCTAAACATATGCCATTTTATGACCAGTAGTCAAGGTAGTAAATTAGCTTAACAGCTGCAGGCCATATATTATCCTTTAGTTCTAATGGTGTGCTACGTATCTAATTTAGTCTCTATTATACTCTTGAATAAAAGAAACATAATCATTTGTAGTTCATTAGACAAAATGTGCATTACTCTGTATCCTTGATCAGCTGTGAATGTCTGACACTGTCTTCTTGAGAATGTTTTACTGCTGAATCATGTGAAGAAGGCCATAAGAGGGAGACTAGGTGTCTGGGCAGAAGAGATAAAACCACATTCTTTACCCCCCTTCCACTTTCACACAGAAAGACAGGGAGGCAAGGTCAGGAGCCAGGCTCACTAAGAATTAGAAAAACATGTGAAGATGCAGCTTTTATGACAAAGAGGGGGGCTGGGATAAAAGTCTGTGAAAGTTGCCACCATTTTGAGACATGCTGTCGAACCTCTGCAGGCATCTCTCCCGTCCGGACGTTGTAATGCTCTTATTGTGAATTGTACCGAAATAAATGATTGTTGATTGAGCATTTATACACCGAGTATTGTCCTTCCTTCAGCCCAAAGATTCAAAGAACTGCTTGTTTTCAACAATCTTTACATGCTGTGGAGCCATTTGTGGGAGCATTTCAAGCTGCTATACATCAATACAACCATTACAGCCCAAATTTTAATAATATGTTTGCATTAAGTGCACAGTAATTACATCAATTGCAAAAAAGTGCAATAAACTACAAAAAAAAATTTAAAATCTTTTTTTTTTTTGGAATATATTTGTAGTTAGAGAAATTTAAGAGGCTTATCACTCAAAACTGTAAATACAAAAAAGTTGCACAGAATAGTTTCCAACCACAGGAAATTTATTTTGAGTGTCTTCATAGTTTTATTTTTGAGATACACCAATTTTTATAAACTGCAGGAAAAACGAAGATAAATATTATAATGCAGATTTGCTAAAAAACAGCATCTGTATCAAAATAAACTATTTCCAGCAGTGCAGTTTGAGTTCCAAGCATCCCAGAAAAAATAAAGAAAAGCATGAAGTCAAACATGACTTTTAAAAACTCCAGTACAGGCTTATAAGGTGAAGATAAAGATAAAAAACTACATTTTCCGCGAAAATGACGTCACTTACGGTTTCGGGCAGGTAATGGCGGACATGCGATCGTTCGCGCTGACGTCTATTCCAACATAGGAAGTGTTGATCAGCTGATCGGATCGGCAAAGCGTGTTTCTGGAATATTATGTTTTTGCTGCTGCAAGTGGTTTTTATGCAATTTTTGCAAAGCTTTATGTGGAAGGAAACCGTGACCGAGGACAAGCTGATGGCATAACAAGTAAGTACAACTCCTCCGGTTTCATATGCAAAAAAATTTATTGCGCTAGCTTATGCGGTTCGGGTTCTACAGGGATTTAAAAATAGTTACACAAAACGGAGCGTGCCCGCTCCGACCGGTCTTAAAGGGTTGAAGGCGTGCCAGCATTCCCGACGGTCCCAAACTAAGAATGTGACATCTGGAACATCACGCCGGCCAAAAAGCACAAAGACAGTTTTTGTTGTTCTTTCCTGTTTCACTTTGTTCTCATTTAGGCTCCAAAGAAACAAACAGAGGTTTCTGTGAGAGGGCTGCTCGCTCCACGTGTCCTCCACAGGTGAGGAGTAACACGCCAACAACACGCCTGCAGAAAACTCCTGTTCAGACTAAAAGTGCACAAGCAGCTGTGCAGTCGAGGACCTGTCACTGCATGTCTGAATTTAAATGAGCTGCGTCTGTGGAGCGATGACTGACAGGTAACGAGTCAAAGAACGGATCGAATCTGATAAAAACCCTGAAAATCTGCAGTAAAAATATCAGACGTGTGCACGGCTGGATCAGCTGCTCAGGAAGGTTCCAGATGTGAACTTACTGTCAGTCATGTGAAAGCCAACGGCGCCCTCTACAGGACAGAGAGAGCAGCTCCCCCACATGTGCTCTGAGCCTCTGATCAGAAGTCCCCAAACTTCACAGTGAGCGAGTCCCCGAGAGAAAACGAAACACTCTGCAGGCATGTTTAATGAGTTTCTGTGTGTGTGTGTGTGTGTGTGTGTGTGTACCTCGGCTGATGGGGGTCACAGCTGGACTCTGGGGGCCCGGGCTGTTATGGCCGCCGTCCTGCGAGTCACTGAGGGTCCTCTGGGGTGGAGGGGCGGGGTGGAGGGGGGCAGGAGGGGGGGCGTGGCTGGTAGGGGGATGTCCGGGGCGCTCTTAGTCCGCTCCCTCTCGGCCCCCCTCTCCCGGCTGCTCTCCTTTCGGGGTTTGATGAGTTTGACTAAAGCTTTGGCTCCGGCCCACTGACTCCTCCTGCAACACACGGCAGCACGCTTAATCGATAATCAAGACCTGCAACACAGTTTTAAACACAATCAGGGCTCTGATTGCACAATAAAGCAGGAAACGGCGTCACTCTTTCAATTTGTATAGCGCCAAATCAAAGCGCTTTAACCGACTAGACCTGGAAAAATCAAACCTCCACGAGCATGTTGGGCTCTTTCATGTTTCCGGCCTCTGCGCTGAAACCTGCAGCCGCTCACCTGTTTGTCACAGGTGTGACAAACAACCTGGCAGCACGCGTGAGCGCTGAGTAGGATTCTGGGATTTGGTCTGTAGATGCGTATGGATACCCAACAGCTGATGCTGTGAAGTGTGGACTCTTACTTTTTAGGCGTGGGGTCGTAGAACTTGTACTGGTCCATGATCTTCTCCTCCAGTTTCTCCTTCTGACGACGGAGAGCGTTCAGCTTATCACTGACGAGACAGACAGACATCGGTCACAGTCGGCCGTTTGTGATCCCTGACGGCACCACGGTGCCGGGTGGAGTTTAGATCAGCGGTGTCAAACTCACTTTATGTCTGGCGGCCCACGCACCAGTGCAACTTCCTGTCAGACGTTACAGATTCAACTGTTTTTCTGTCAGCTCGACTCGACTGTCAGAACAAAGATGACAGAAAAGTTCTGCTCGCTCAGACTCTCCACTTTATTTCACTGGACTCACAGAAAAACTGATATTTCTCTTTAATTGTCTGCTGTGGCAGCTGTTTGGGTTGGTTGCTGAAATTGTTTTGAGCTTTTCGCTGAGACTCTGGCGTTTCCGTGGAAACCACACGTGTCTACATTTAAATAAGAGATGTGACAGTACGTCTTTTAAACCCCGGTACGGGGCCTCAGGTTAGTGACTGTGTGTGAATGGCCATGAGGAGGTTTGAGTAGGAAAGTCCAAAACGTCTGCGTGTGCTTGTCTGTGATGAGCAGCAGAAGTATAATAATTATAAACAGCTTCACTTCAGACCTGTGAGACTCTATCAGACACTGAGCCGTGACTCTGAGCTGCACGCACACATTTCTGCATCTGACATTCAAACACACGTTTATCTAATATTCATCACTGAACTGTACGTTTTCTTTTAAGGAGCTGATTTTTATTCAGTGTTTTCATAAAAGTCTTATTTTACGGATTTTTTGCTACCAGCGAGAACACGTGAGGTTTAAGGACAATCCTCATAATTTCTGTCCTCAGATTTTCACTCAAACACAGACAAACGCTCATTTTAGGTTTTCACGCTTTCTTCGCGGTCCCCCGACACGCTTGTATTTAAATCCAGCTCCCGTCTCTCTGTGTACCTGGCCTGTACCACTACACTCGCCTGCCCCCTTCCTTCTTTCACATAATGGTATGATCCCAGTCTGTCTTTGCATGTCATTGGCCGCATGATGTGCCTGTCAAAATAATGTCCCACCCCTCCCTGCGAGGATTCTCAGCAGGGCTGACGATTCAACTCCCCCACACTGACGGCCATCATTAACTGACATGAAATTATCTCACCGCCAGATGTGGCCCACGGGTTTGACACCCCTGATTTAGATGGTCCAACCTGCTGATGAGATGGCAGGTGTGTGCCTGCAGGTGTGTGCCTGCAGGTGTGTGCAGCAGCCACGTAAAAGCTAAACACAGATGTGAGGACTGCACCGACTGACAGCTGAGGATAAACCGCGTTCGTCAGCGATCAGCTCGTCCTGCAGGACGTCGCCTGTCTGAACCTCGCGGCGGCTGACGAGCACTCACATGTAGAGCTTCTGCTCCTGGTGGTACAGCTCCTTGCTCTCCATGCTCCTCTCCAGCAGCGCGTGGTTCTGCTGACTCAGCAGGTTGATCTGGCTCAGCAGGTGGTGGTTCTCCTCCTCCAGGTTCCCTTTGAGGCGACTCAGGAGCTGGGCGCACACACAGAGGAGGCGGTGACCACGCTGCAGCCCGTCAATCAGCCGTTTCAGAAAAACGTGCGCTTACCTCACAGTGGTTGTCTAGTTTAGTCATGGTGAGATCTAGCGTCTGGTGCTGCTCCATCAGCGAATCGTATTGCGCCATACACTGACTCACTTCCAGCTGGGAGGAGCTTAAAGAGCTCTTGAGTTCGTTCAGTCGCTGCTGGAGCCCCTTGCTCTGCTCCGCCTGCTGTGATTGGCTCTCGGAGAGTCTGAAGATGGAAGCAGAAGGTGAACAGTTTAAAGTCTGTGCTCACTGGCTGCTGTCAAGGGTTTTCATTGGCTGTTACTGAGCTCTGATGAGCAGCATCAGCTGGTAGCTCCGCCCTCTCATCCAAACATGGTCACTTCTGGAACCAACATGGAGCAGAAAACGCTAACACAGAGGCTTCTAAACATCAGAACCTAATGCGTGATGTCATGATTGTCCATCTTTGCTATACAGTCTGTGTGTGAAAACACATCACCTGTCCACATCTGTTTTCAGCTGGAGGTTTTCCTGCTGCAGGAGGCGGTTCTTCTGGATCTCCAGGTTTAGCTCCTCCTTCTCTTTCAGGCCACGCCCCTCATGCTCCTCCCATTTCTCCTTTTGCTGCAGCAGTGCACAGTACCTGCAGACGTGCAGAGCAAAATGATTAGCCACGTCACATCACACACTTTAAATGAATTTAATTTTTTATCACTACAATGTTTCTAATCGACTCTCTGAACCACCAGCTACCGCTTCTCCACCCTGTACGACACTGCCAGTCACATTATGTCGTTAATTACAACAAGGAGAAACCTCTGCATGAAAAGTGGATGGTGGAACCTCAGGAATACAACAGCTTAATATCACCGTAACACACCAGAATGAGTCGTTTTCCTGTAAACAAAGTAAATTTTACTGTGTGCATGTAGATCAGCTGACCTATAACATGTTTACATCACATCATGTCAATCTTCTACCTTCAGCTGGTGAATGAGGAGTTTGAAAAGGACATGATGAGAGAGGATTCACTGAAACTAAACTCTAATGAAATAGGAATGAGGCAGGCAACATGTAAGTGCTACAAACAACAACCTGCAGGATACAGCCGAGGTCACTTCAACCCAACGATTAGACGTCCTGCTCTTTATCGCCATTGTGCTGCGAACATCATTAAAACTCACACATCATCAATGCAGCTGCAGTTTCAGAGTAAAACTATATTTAACTGTGAAAAGAGGAAGTCTCAATGTGTCAGAGTTTGGCTGTCTCGAAGTGTCTCTCTGTGTCTGAGAGTGGTTTAAATTCATGTACAAATATCAGCCCCACTCAAAGGGTCAAAGGTGAGAATACTTCAGCACAGGTGAGGCTGACAGAGACAGGAAGTGGAGCATGGTGGAGCTTTAGGAGGGGAGATGTGGATAGGAATGATACAAACTGCATCCAGGACAGAACTGCAGCCTCAGGTTTCTGTCGTTCTGACACCGTTACAGGTACATGATGTAACAGATTACTTTCTATAGCAGCTACAGACTCCATTACTTGTAATAAAAGACTAATGTGTAATAGATTACTTTTTGTGAGTAATAATCCAACACTGCCTGTATCACATCTTTCATTGTTCTGGTTTCTTGTCCAGAACCAGACGATGGGGGGCGCTTATCGCGGGGTGGGTGGGGCTGTAAAGTGGTATTTTTGGAAAGGTATATATAGTTAAGTTGAGCAAATATAAGCAGAGTTCGGCAGGAAGAATAAGAGTTCCCGTTCTGAAGCCAGCAGCAGTCAGCTGTGTTCCAGCTGTTCTCTCAGGTGAGTAAATGCGTCACACTGCCTGCACATCAAAGCCTTCAGAGCGAACAGCGGTGTGACTGACACGGTGTGTAAACGCAGGTAAACGGAACTTTATTCTGTTTCCGGTCTGTCCGCGTGTCTGCTCGCACTGAAACACGCGGACCGGGGACGTTGCTGCGCGGTGTTTGAAGTGTGAAGGCGGAAGTTGGAAACCGGGAGTTCCGGGTCGGATTTCTACTTTAAAGCCGTAGAAGCCTGGAAACACTGACAATGGAAGCCGCTTCCGGATGTTGGAGAAGGGTCTGGGGGATGATGCGCTAGAGCGGAAGTGAGTGGACCTCTGACTTTGACCACGTGACCGAAGAACTCGCGACTCCGCGCTCATTTCGATACAAATTCCGTAAATGTTTATTGTATTATTTGACATAAATAAGGTTTATAAGGACTGCGCTCATTGGCTAACAGCGGGTCCGCCGCTAGCCAATGAGCGACCACAGTCAGAGCCCCGCCCCCACCCTTAAGAACTCCTCCGAAATCAGTCCGTGACGTCACGGCGGCTACAGCAATTATCGTTCGTGACGTTTCACAGAGCAGCTTTCCCTCTGACCCGTCACCTCAGGTGTGTCATACACGAGTCTGCGGACGCCTCTCCGTCATCGGTGCCATTTTTTTCTCTTGGAAAAACCGAAATAAACGTGGTGGATGTAGCATACAAATTAAAACTCAGATATGCAAACGGATATTTATTTGAGGTTTTTAATTTGTCACAAGGTCCAACAATCAGGACAATCACAGAACCTGCTTATTGAAACAATGAAACTGTGATCCTGAGCAAACTCACTGAGAGCTTCTGTCGGGTACAAATGTCCAGACACTTGTCCTCACACTCAGGCATCACAGCTGCATTCAGAGCACTGCATCTGTTTAGTGGGCCCTGGAGCAGGTTCAGAGATGTGACTGAGAACAGCACCAGCCCCACCTGTGAGCCTCCTCTGCTCTTCACCACACTCCGAGTCACACCGAGGCAGCAGCTTTGACTTAAGTTCAGACAGAGTCAGAAGGAGCCGATCAAAGTGAAGAGTTACTGTTAGTGATGCTGTTAGCTTCCAGGACTGTGGGCGTTTAACCTGCCACAGGTAACGTGAGGACTGCAGAAGAATAAAACTCATAAATCTGGAATCAAGTTCTCAGTCATCCAGATCATCGTAGTCAAAGGAGCTTGCAAAGAAAAGCGTCTGGACTTCTTTAAGTTGCTTGAAGACGTTTCACCTCTCATCCAAGAAGCTTCTTCAGTTCTAAGGTCAAATGGTGGAGAGTCCCAGATTTAAACCTAGTGGGAGTTTCCCCCGCAGAGGGACAAAAGGACCCCGTGATGATCCTCTAATCGCCTGAGCCAAGGTGTGAAACTGGGTGTGGGTCCCAATCAGCCAGGGTTTCGGGTGAGCTCATTGTGAAATCTGGCCTTGATAAGGTGGAGCGGGTGGAGGGAGGTTTGGAATCTTCACACCCCCCCGTTCTCTGCTGCCTGTTGGAGCGGGGGGCTGGGGCTGGAGGAGGAGTTGGCCGTCCGATTGGGGCTTGGATTGCTGGTCTGCTTCTCTCCACCCCAGGGAAGAGGGTAACACCACCTGGGTCTGGGTGCAGTTTCCCTCTCCAGGGGCAAGGGTACCTAGACCTGGGGAGCACTGGGCTGTGGCCCCCCCACGCCCTCTAGCAGATCATTACATGAAGGAACCTTTTAAAAACAAGCACGTCCATGCTCACAGGTGTGCACACGGGTGCTCACACACACAAACTACACCCTTTTTGGCTCCTACCTCAAAGCACACTGTGCGCTGTTGATCTTACGTGCTGCACAATAATGTTTAATATTTAGTATTTACTGTTATATTCACATAGATCATCATGATGTTGTTTATTATATTGCTCTTTTTTTTGCTTGTTTTCTCTTTTCTCTTTCTCAACAGGTGATCCAGGTGATTGATAGATGGATTTTTGTCTGTTTGTTTTGTTGGTTTTTGTTTTTTGCCCTTTATCACCGTAAAAATACATTGATGGGTTTTTTTGCACTAATAAAGTTAGTCAATTATATCGTCAGCTATATCATTATCGCAAATTTTCAAATATAGATCATGATAAAACTTTTGGCCATATTGCCCTTCCCTAATAACAGCTTATTCAGAGCAGATAACTTTCCGCCTGAATCAGAGGAGAATGAGAACATTGTGTTTTCTAAAGGGTGCATTTAGTTTTAGAATATTCTGATTTGAATCATCGTGTAAATTAAAACAGAATATATTCATCATGTTTGCGCTCTGGAGCATTGATGGGACGTTAGTGAGATTCTGGCTCTTTCGTTGCGTGCAGCGTGCAGCTGCCTCCTTCCAGCACAGTGACGAAAATCTCGGGTCATTTCTTGTGTTAGGTGTTACTCACACGGAGGATCTCAGACTTATCCAGCATGCAGAGCTCGGTGACCGTGTGCCTCCTCCTCCTCGTCTTTCCCGTCAACGCACACGTCGTGGAAAACTTTGAGGTTTGTGTGTCAGTGCGTTCATAAAGATGATAAGATGGTTTCTGTGTGTGTTTAAACCTGGTTTCTGCTGCTCTGTTGTGTAGATGTGCATGGAATACTTTTACAAGGGGCATGTGCCAGAATGGACTCCCAATGATCACGTCCACATCTGCCAGATGTTTAATAACAGGTAATGATCATATTAAATAAAAGTATTTATTTATTCTGTTAAACTGCAGAGCTGGACTTGAACTTTCTGATCTGTCGTTACTATTGTGAACTTTACTTTTAAGATTCAGTCTTTCTAATTGACTCTGTGAACCACCAGATACCACTTTGCCACCCTGTACGACACCACCAACCGCATTCCCGTCTACTCTGCTTATGTAGTTGAGGATGGCAAAAGCTCCGATCACAGATGGATGGTGGAGCCTCAGGTATACGACAGCTTTGTAAATGAGACCCACTCAGGTTTCTTCCACAGACAGCTGATCCCAGACTTCCTGACAGATGCTAAAGCTGCATCACACATTTACATTTCAGTGAAGACTGTAAAAAGTGATGGCAGTACTTTGTGTGTTTAATATTACAGTAATACACCAGAACAAGTCGTTTTAATGTAAACAAAGTACTTCGTGCATGTAGATCAGCTGACCTATAACATGTTTACATCACTTCATGTCGATCTTCTACCTTTAGCTGGTAAAACAGGAGTTTGAAGAGGCGAACATGATGACAGAGAATTCACTGATTTACAAACATCGTACACTAGACCCTAAGGACATAGGAACGAGGCAGGCAACAGATGACGACTACAATAAACGTCCTGATGGATACAGCCGAGGTCACCTCAACCCCAACTCGCACCATGCAGGTAAGAGAGGTCGAGCTGTTCTGAGGGGTTTGTCATGTGTCTCATGCACACTCAGTAAGATGTACACACGTGTTCTCACATGTGGGAGACAGAACACAGTCCCAGGAACATGAACCAGAGAACACAGGAAAGAAGAAGACTTCAAACACAAGACCTTTAAAAATAATTACGTTCTGTTTATGAGGGAAATGTATTCTACACAGCACTTTATCATAACCTGCTACGCTCTCATTCACCCACCAATCACATCCTTCTTCTGTCTCTACATCATTTTCTACAGGTGATGCTTCCAAAGCCACTATGACCCTGACTAATATAGTTCCTCAAAAACAATCACTGAACGAAAAGAAGTGGAAAGATCATGAGGATACACTCAAAGGTTGGGCCAAAGATAACAAAGAGAACGTCTACGTTCTGGTCGGTGCGATTCCATCCAAAGGAAACTGGATCAAAAGAGATAACCAGCCAGGTGTCAACATCCCTGACTACATGTGGGTCGCCCACTGCTACTATAACAAGACATCACAGTCTTATGAGAGTGGAGGTGCCACAGCTAAGAATGTTGAGAACAAGATCTACAAGTGCACCCTGTCACAGCTTCAAGCCTTTCTTCAACAACACAACCAAGTAGCTGCAGGTCAGCTGTTTCACAACGACTGCTATGTGGAGCAGGCTGCAGGTGCGTCTGCGGCAGCAGAAAATCCTTGTGACATATAATCCAGAAATACTCACGAGATCACTGATCTCTGCAGAGTCACGCAGCTCATCCTTTCCTCAGCACTGCACACATGAACTCATGTAAACAGTTACTGTGATCTTAACTGTGTCGCACAAATGTCAGCATGTTTATGGTGCAGGTGAACACATGCTGTCATGCTTACAGGCGGCTTTACTCTGAGAGCAGCTTCACTGCAGCTTGTTGCTTATTAAAATCTGATGAAATGCTCAGTGTCGCGTGTTGGTGTGTTCAGTCAAAATCAGCAAGTGTGACAAACTTCACTGAGCCGATGGAGGCTCTGACCTCAGAGTGCAGACGCCTGATGTTTCTCAGCTGGAACAAACACATTTAAACCCTGACAGATTCAATTCAATTCAATTCAATTTTATTTATATAGCGCCAAATCACAACATAAGTCGCCTCAAGGCGCTTCATAGATACAGAGAAAAACCCAACAATCATATGACCCCTATGAGCAAGCACTTTGGCAACAGTGGGAAGGAAAAACTCCCTTTTAACAGGAAGAAACCTCCAGCAGAACCAGGCTCAGGGAGGGGCGGCCATCTGCTGCGACCGGTTGGGGTGAGAGAAGGAAGACAGGATAAAAGACATGCTGTGGAAGAGAGACAGAGGTTAATAACAGATATGATTCAATGCAGAGAGGTCTGTTAATACATAGTGAGTGAGAAAGGTGACTGAAAAGAAAAAACTCAATGCATCATGGGAATCCCCCGGCAGCCTATGTCTATTGCAGCATAACTAAGGGAGGATTCAGGGTCACCTGGTCCAGCCCTAACTATATGCTTTAGCAAAAAGGAAAGTTTTAAGCCTAATCTTAAAAGTAGAGATGGTGTCTGTCTCCCGAATCCAAACTGGAAGCTGGTTCCAGAGAAGAGGGGCCTGAAAACTGAAGGCTCTGCCTCCCATTCTACTTTTAAATACTCTAGGAACAACAAGTAGGCCTGCAGAGCGAGAGCGAAGTGCTCTAATAGGGTGATATGGTACTACAAGGTCATTAAGGTCCAAGCTGGACCAAGCTGGTCAAGAAGGCTCACCAGCGCCTCTTCTTCTTGAGGACTCTGAGGAAGAACCACCTGTCCTCAGACATCCTGGTGAACTTCTATCGCTGCACCATCGAGAGCATCCTGACCAACTGTATAACAGTCTGGTACGGGAACTGCTCTGCCTCGGACCGGAAGGCGTTGCAGAGGGTCGTGAAAACTGCCCAGCGCATCGCCGGAGCACCACTTCCTGCCATAAAAGACATCTACAGGAAGCGGTGTCTGAAAAGGGCTGGGAAAATCATCAAAGACCCCAGTCACCCATCACATGGACTCTTCACCCTCCTGCCCTCTGGGAGGCGCCACAGGAGCCTCCGGACTAAGACCACCAGGTACCGGAACAGCTTCTTCCCCACAGCTGTCAGACTCCTGAACTCTGCCTCCTGACATCTGACCCACGTTAAACTCATGGACTGAACACACACACACCCACAATGGACAACTGTACCCTCAAACACAATAATAACATGGACTGAACCACCACTCACAACCACTAGCACTTTATATAGCCTCTGTAGGAATTATATCTCACTATCTTAACTGCACTACTGTATAGCTCTGTGTAAATAATCATTCTGTACATTCGATAATCTTTAACCCTACAACTGTTTACAACTTGCATAGTTCCCATTTCTGTATAGCTGTATATCTCAGATTCTGTAAAGTTATTTATTTCATATTCTGTATAGTTTTTCATATTTATATCCTGTTCATATCCTGTACATAGCTTGTACTCACTACAGCCTGTACATACTTATAGTTATAGAATATTCACAACATACTTCATACCGTGTATATTATAACATACCATAATAGACCCATTTCTGTAATATACTCACATATCTATATTATTGCTAATATATATTGTAATATATCTATATCACTAAAGCACTTCTGGATGGATGCAAACTGCATTTCGTTGCCCTGTACCTGTTCATGTGCAATGACAATAAAGTTGAATTCTAATTCTATTCTATTAAGATAAGATGGGGCCTGATTATTTAAGACCTTGTATGTGAGGAGCAGGATTTTGAATTCAATTCTGGATTTAACAGGAAGCCAATGAAGGGAAGCCAAAACAGGAGAAATCTGCTCTCTCTTTCTAGTCCCTGTCAGGACTCTTGCTGCAGCATTTTGGATTAGCTGAAGGTTTTTCAGTGAGTTTTTTGGACATCCTGATAATAATGAATTACAGTAGTCCAGCCTGGAAGTAATAAATGCATGAACTAGTTTTTCAGCGTCACTCTGAGACAGGATATTTTTAATTTTAGAGATGTTGCGCAAATGGAAGAACGCAGTCTTACATATTTGTTTAAGATGTGCATTGAAGGACATGTCCTGGTCAAAAATGACTCCAAGGTTCCTCACAGCATTACTGGAGGCCAAGGTAATGCCATCTAGAGTAAGAATCTGGTTAGATACCATATTTCTAGGCTTTTCAGGGCCGAGTACAATAACCTCAGTTTTATCTGAATTAAGAAGCAGAAAGTTAGCGGCCATCCAGGTCTTTATGTCTTTAAGACATTCCTGCAGTTTAACTAATTGGTGTGTGTTATCTGGCTTCATGGACAGATAGAGCTGGGTGTCATCTGCATAGCAGTGAAAATGTATGCTATGTCTTCTAATGATGCTGCCTAAGGGAAGCATGTATAATGTAAACAGAATTGGTCCTAGCACTGAACCCTGTGGAACTCCATAATTAACCTCAGTGTGTTAAGAGGACTCTCCATTTACATGCACAAACTGGAGTCTATTAGATAGATATGATACAAACCACTGCAGTGCAGTACCTGTAATACCTACAGCATGTTCTAATCGCTCTAATACGATATTATGGTCGACAGTATCGAACGCTGCACTGAGGTCTAGCAGGACAAGCACAGAGATGAGTCCACTGTCAGAGGCCATAAGAAGATCATTTGTAACCTTCACTAAAGCTGTTTCTGTGCTGTGATGAGCTCTGAAACCTGACTGAAACTCTTCAAATAAGCCATTCCTCTGCAGATGATCTGTTAGCTGTTTGACAACTACTCTTTCAAGGATTTTTGATATGAAAGGAAGGTTGGAGATTGGCCTATAATTAGCTAAGACTGCTGGGTCTAGAGATGGCTTTTTGAGTAAAGGTTTAACTACAGCCAGCTTGAAGGCCTGTGGTACATAGCCGATCATTAGAGATAGGTTGATCATATTTAAGATCAAAGAATTAATTAATGGCAGGACTTCTTTGAGCAGTTTTGTAGGAATGGGATCTAAAAGACACGTTGATGGCTTGGAGGAAGTAATTATTGAAGTTAATTCAGAAAGATCAATTAGAGAAAAAGAGTCTAACTTAACATCGATGGTACTAAGAGTAGCTGTAGATAATATTACATCTGTGGGATGATTACTGGTAATTTTTTCTCTAATGATAAAAATTTTATTTGTGAAGAAGTTCATGAAGTCATTAATAGTTAACGTTAAAGGGATTGTTGGCTCAAAAGAGCTCTGACTTTTTGTCAGCCTGGCTACAGTGCTGAAGAGAAACCTGGGGTTGTTCTTATTTTCTTCAATCAGTGATGAATAGTATTTAAATGTTCTGGCTTTGCGGAGGGCTTTCTTATAAAGCAGCAAACTATTTCTCCAGGCCAAATGATGATCCTCTAAATTTGTGACACGCCATTTCCTCTCCAGATTACGAGTCTTCTGCTTTAGGGTACGTGTTTGAGAATTATACCACGGAGTCAGGTACTTCTGATTTGAGACCTTAGTTTTCACAGGAGCTACAGTATCCAGAGTCATACGTAGTGAGGAGGTGAAATTATTAACAAGATAATCGACCTCTGTTGGGGTAGCGTTCAGATAGCTGCTCTGCTCTGTGTTGGTACAGGGCATTGGAGATGATAACAGTGGGTGGATTATATTCTTAAACTTAGTTACAGCGCTTTCAGAAAGACATCTACTTTGATAAAGTCTACTCTTCACAAGCTGTGTAATCAATTATTGTAAATGTAAATGTTATCAGGAAATGATCAGACAGGAGAGGGTTTTCAGGAAACACTGTTAAATGTTCCGCTTCTATGCCATATGTTAAAACAAGATCTAGAGTGTGATTAAAGTGGTGGGTGGGTTCTTTTACATTTTGAGAGAAACCAATTGAGTCTAATAACAGATTAAATGCCATGTTGAGGCTGTCATTTTTAGCATCTACATGGATGTTAAAATCACCCACAATAATTATTTTATCTGAGCTCAAAACTAAATTAGATATAAAGTCTGAGAAATCAGACAGAAACTCTGTGTAAGGCCCAGGTGGACGATAGATGATAACAAGTAAGACTGGTTTCTGAGTTTCACAGCTGGGGTGGACGAGGCTAAGCATCAGGCTTTCAAATGAATTAAAAGTCTGTCTTGGTCTTTCATTAACTATTAGGCTGGTGTGAAAAATTGCTGCCACACCGCCCCCTCGGCCTGTGCTTCGAGATTTCTGGTAGTTAGAATGACTCAGGGGTGTTGATTCATTTAAACTAACATAATCATCCTGCTGCAACCAGGTTTCTGTAAGGCAGAGTAAATCAATTTGTTGATCAATTATTAAGTCATGTACTAACAGAGACTTGGAGGAGAGAGACCTAATATTTAATAATCCACATTTCACTGTTTTACTCTTTGGTTCATATGTGGATACTGTATTGTTCTTTCTTTGTAATTGTTTATACAAAGACTGTTTAGACAGAGAGGGAGCAGCAGAGCGAGCAGCGGCGCTCCGTGCTCATCAGACCCTCTGCTCTTCATCGCCATCGTGACTGCAGCTGCAGTTTCAGAGCAAACCTCTATTTAAACTGTGAAAGGAGGAAGTGTCATTGGGTCAAAGGTCAGCCACCTCAAAGCGTCTCTCTGAGAGTGGTTCAAATTCATGCACACCTCGCCGGTATTAGCCTGATTTAAGGGGTCAAAGGTGAAGCTGACAGAACAAGTGACACAGACAGGAAGTGACACGGATGGTTAGATCAGCTAAAAGGAAACTTGCGGCTCAGGAGCGATCAGGAGCCGTTTCCATGGTTACACTCGGCGCCCTTTCTCACACCTGTGCTGCTTCCTGTTACCTGAATCATTCCAGCGCTTCACGTCGACGCGTCCACTTACTTGCCGTGCAGCGTCCTGTGCTCGCTCTCCAGCGCCCTCTGTTTGCCCTTCAGCGCCGCGTGCTGACTGATCAGCTGCTCGTACTCGTGAGCCTGCCTCTCGTGAACGCTCAGCAGGCGCTCGTGATCACTGAGCACGCCCTCTCTGGCTCGCCACGCCTCCTCGCGCTGCCGCTGCCACGACTCCACCTCCGTCTCCAGGGCGGTCACCTGGCCTTGCAGCACGGCATTCTGGGCCATGAGAGAGGCGCTCTGAGAGGAGAGGGTGGAGTTCTCCACCTGAGAGGACACAGAGATGAAGCGTGAGTGCGATGGCCTGAGTGTAAACTGGGTCAAAGTTACACGTGTGTGAGCGTGCGTGAGCGTGCCTGCAGCTTCGCCGTCTGTGTGTGCAACGCCGAGTTCTGCTCCTGCAGCGTGGTGGTGTGCCGCTGCAGCGCCGCCATCTGGTTGTTGAGGGAAGTGTTCTGGTTCTCCAGCTGCTTCAGCTGCTCCTTCAGCAGACTGCTCTCCGTCTGCAGGGAGGCGTTCTGGACCAAACAAACACAGTTTCACAGCAGTCACACAAACTCATCCATCAAATTAGCACAAAGCGTTTTTCACGTGTGAGAACATTTCTGAGGTGCTGAACAGGAAACGTTCCTGTGCTGCTATAATCATTAACAGTGATAACATCATTATTAATGATGATGATCAGAAACAGCGGCTCACGTTCTTCTCCACGTCGATCAGGTGATCTTTGATTCGCAGCAGTTCGGCCGTGGCGCTGCGGTCAGCCGCCGGGTGCTGCTGGGAGTTGTGGTTTACTTCCTCGTGCTGCTGATGGGAGGCGGACGCCGTCTGACGAGCCTGCAGCGGGAAAGAAAAATGTCAGACTGTCGCACAGCTTCAACGTTACAGAGGCGAAGGCGCGTTTCCTCACAGCTTCCAGCTCCGCGTGAAGCGTCTTGTTGAGGGCGCCGCTTTCTTCCAGCTTCTTTTCCAGGCTGGAGATTTTCTCCTCCTTGACCTTCATGGTCTGCTGGACGGTTTCCTCCAGCCGAGACTCCAGCAGCCTGTACCTGCTGACATTCAAACACATCCGTGAGTCGTCAGAGATCCGCTTTAAAGTGCACAGGTAAGGTCGCGGGGTCGTACCTGTCCTCCAGCGTGTGCTCCTGCTGCAGCAGCTTCTCCCGGTTCAGTCCGATCTTCTCCAGCTCTTCGTTCAGTCGCTCCAGCTCGACCTTCTGCTGCTGGACGCTCAGCTTCTCCGACACCAGCTCCTGCAAAACCGCAACACAAACACCGCTGAAGGTCACGGGCGCTCGGCGTCAGGCTCAGAGCGGCCGACGTCGCCGAGCGTCTGCCTGAGCGTCTGCAGTACAGCTGGGACATATTATACCTTTCACGGTAACACCGGTGTAATGTTAGGCAACGATAAGAAAATGAAACATCGCGATAGAACATGGGTAAAACACGCATGTGCGGTGCCTTTGTTTTTATACAAACATGGCGTAAAAAAGCACGGCGGTGGAGAACAAGAAGGCAAACAGACGAACAAAAATAGGTTTGTAAAAGTGGAGCAACCGCAGTGATGTGGAACTGGTTTGGTTTTCGTCAGAAAGCCACCAAAGCACAATGTTTTGTAGAACATGCCAGCGGGCTGTCGTGGTGAAGGGAGGAAACACCACAAACCTATTTCATCATCTGAAGCAGAAGCGCTTCGAGTACAACACAGCTGTCAACGAAGAGGCTTCAACAAGCGCGGTGGTGAGACCAGAGAAGCTGACCCAACAAACAGTCGGCTTTAAATAGCTGCAGGCCTTAGCCAACGCTGGGGGGAACGAACTAACGCAGAGACGCATCGTTTAGGATATGATGCCCACTCAGAGTGTGGAGGAGGTTTCACACAGGTGCATTTGCTCTGTCACATGTTTGTAGCTTTAATGCAGATAAAACACAGCTGCTTGTTCAAGTGGAAATAAACTGATGATTTTTTTGCACTAATAAAGTTGAGTTGTAAAGTATTTAGTCTCGCATCAGTTACATGGTGAGTTACATCGTTTGGCCACACTGCCCCGCCCCACTCTGCAGGTTTCCAAAGAGCCGAGAATGAACAGCTGACACAAGTTACAGTCTGTTTTAACCACATGCGCGTTTTCAGACTTGCTGATTGGTTGTTCAGGACTCGATGTGGCGCTCACAGGAACCTTCCACGCTGATGCTGTAAAGAACACCCCAGTGTTCAGTACCTAGCAGTGCAGCACCCCCTGCTGGCCTTCTGGTGTATATGTCGGTTAAAGCTGACCTAGCGCCTCGTCTTTGATTGAGATTCAGATTTTGATACATTGTTTTCATTTTACTGCTTTTTTTGCAGTTCTGAGAGCAAAGAAACTGATTAACCCTTTAAAGCCCACCACAGAACCAAGTCCACCAGAGCTCACCTTCATATTTTTACCTGCTGTCGTTCCATCTTTCAAGCTGCTACACATCAATACAAGTTTTAATAACATGTATGCATTAAGTCCGTAGTAACTATATACCCTGCCTTCTTGTTTATTACACATATTTCCAACCACAGCAAACTGACTGAGTGTCTCTGTAGTTTCATTTTTGAGCTACACTCACTTTTATAAACTTCAGGAGAAACTCAAACTTAAACAGTGCAGTTTAAGTTCAAGGCAAACACGCTCCTCTGAAAGGCCCTGTAGGAAAAACTACGTTTCCCACAAGAAAAAAATGATGTCACTTCCTGACATGCCATAGTAGGAAGTGCAATGAACAGCTGATCGGATCTGCAAAGCGTGTTTCTGGATTATGACGTTTTTTACGTGCCTTCTGCAAAGGACGAGCTGAATGCATGTTATGGAAGTGCGGCTCCTCCGGTCTCACATGCAAAAACATTCCTGCGACAGCTTATGCAGCTGCAATTCTCCTGGGATTTAAAAGTCGTTACTCGGAGCGTGTGCGCTCTGATGGCAGCCTCGCGGTCTCACAGGCATCAGCAGCAACGAGGAGACTGACACAGACCCACGAGTGACGCTTCTACAGCTCACCTGCTCAGATCCAAACTCTGAACTAGAATCTAAATAACCCGCCCAGCGGCGCCACGGACACCTGCTTAAACGAAGCTCCTCCCCCTGCCCCTTCTCTCACCTCTCTGAGCGTGGCCAGCGTCCTCTTGTCGATCGTCGCTTGTTTCTGAAGCTCCTTGTTCTCTCGCTCCACCTCCTTTGCTTTCACCGCCGCCTCCTTCATTCGCTCCACCTCCTTTTTGAGAGCTCCTCCCTCCTTCGTGACCTCGGTGAGCCTCCTGGTTTTCTCCTCCAGCTCCGTCTCCTTCCCCTCCAGGAGCGTCCTCATCCTCCAGCTCTCCTTCTCCAGCTGCTTCCGGCCCTTCTCCGACTGCTCCAGGTCCAGCTGGAGCTTCTTCCTCTCCTCGTCTCCTTCCACTCGCCTCCTCCGCTCCTCCTTCAGCTCCTCCACCTCCCTCTTCAGGTCCTCCTCTCTGCTTTCTGCCTCCTGCCGCCTCCTCTCTTCCTCCACCCTGTCCTCTTTGCTCTTCTCCATCTCCTCCTCTATGTGATGCTTCTCCTGGTTCAGAGCTGTCAGGTTCACCTCCAGCCTCTCCACTCTCTTCCTCTCTCCCTGCGCCTCCTCCCCAGCTTGATCCAGCCTCCTCTGCAGCTCCTGCATCTCCCTCTGCGCCTCCTGGAGCTCCTCTTGCACAGTGGTGAGGCGGGTGGATGAGGAGCGCAGGCTCTCCAGGGAGCAGCGGAGCTCCAGGTTCTCCTTGGACAGCAGTCCGTTTTCAGCCTCCTGCTTCGTCAGCCGCTGCAGCTCCCGCTGGCTCTCCTCTGCCTCCCGCTTCAGCCTGTGCACCTCCTGCTCCAAGGAGGTCACCTGTTTCTCCAGAGCCTCGGAGCGCTCGCTGCACGCCCGCAGAGACGCCACCTGGAGGCGACACGGGCACGTTACACTTATGCTGCAGTGAGACTCGTCAGAGAGGAGGAAGCGTTTACGTACCTCTCTGCTGAGCGCCTCCCGGCTCCTCTCCAGCCGCGCCACCTCTCGCTCCGCCTCCTCACACCGCCCCGCCCGCTCCCTCAGCCTCTCTGCCTCCTCATTGGATACTTTGAGCTGTGTTTCCAGGCTGGCCAATCGGGAGCTGGTGTCGGTGATGCTCTGGTGCAGCAGGCGGTTCTCTGATTCCACCTCGCGGACCCTCGCCACGCTGTTAGACTGAGCGCGCTCCTGAAGGGACGCCACTGCCTCCGACAGGTGCTGCTTCTCGCTCTCCAGCTCTGAGATCTGATTGGACAAACAGAAGTCAGCCGGTCTCCTCTGCGACTGACAGTGAAGGAGATGTTACCTGAGCGTGCCACACACCTGTCGGTCCTTCTCCGCCTTCAGAGCGTGCATGTCGCGCTCCAGACTCTGTTTCTCCTTCAGTAGCTCCTCCCCCAGAGCCTCCATGTCCTGATTGGTTATTTTCTCCTGGTCCAGTAAACCCTGCAGACGCTCCAGCTGAAACAAACACAGGTGTTGCTTTTAGAGACAGGGGAGTGTTTCAAAGCTCACTGAGCTTGAATGATGCTGCAGGACGTTAAAACTGGACAAAAACAGTTAAAACTGTGCCGTTAAAAGACGAGACGAGTTTGTTATCAGGGTTTCACGTCGTCATGTTTACTCTCTGAAAGTTCCCCTGCAGCACAGACGGAAACACAAATACTGGACGAATGAAGGTTTACTGAGTGATGTTCATGTTTGCGTGCACGACTGGTGCACCTGGAGTCAGGTGGAGACACCGGCTTGTGTGTATGAGTTTTACTGTAAACCTTAACCGATGACATCCATGTTTCTTTATTGATCAGCTGTGTTATCAATCAGTAAAAGTTACATGTATGTGTCTCATATCAGCATCTAGACTAAACGCTGCACGCCTGCAGGACTGAGACGCGATGCATCACTGTTACTGTAAAATCAAATCACCGCTCAGATGGCAGAAATCAAAGTTTATTAAACTTTAATTAAAAAACAGAATCCCCACAGCAGCGCCTCGAGCCGGTGAACAGCAGGAGTGACTGTGAGTCCCACCTTGTTGCTGAGACTCTGGTTCTCCCGGTCCAGCTCCTGCGTGTGGAGCTGCTTCTCCTGCAGGAGGTGGTTCTCCTCCTTCAGCCTCTCTATGGACGCCTGCAGCTCCCGGTTCTCCTTCTCCAGCTTCAGCATGCGGCTGGAGACGCACTCGTTCAGCTCGTCGACCAGAGACTTACGGGCTGGGCGGAGAGAAGAGAGCCGGTTACCAGTGTACAGACGGGTGGAGGACAGACAGGCTGAGGACAGACAGGTGGAGGCTCACTCTCGGTATTGTCGTGGTTCTTGGTGAGCTGCTCCAGCTCCCAGCCCAGGTGAGCCGACTCGTTCATGCTCTGCTTCTGTCCGATCTCCAGCAGCATGTTCTCCTCCACCAGCTCCTCCAGCCGTCGCCGCTCGCTGTCCCGCTCCTGCAGACAGGTGGAGGGACAGACAGGTGGATGATGATTTTTACAGAGACCAGCGTTCTTCTGGTTTCTGCCCACTCTATTAATTGTTTATGCTTTTCAGGGTCCCAGGGGGCGGAGCCTATCCCAGAGGTCACAGGGGGAGGGGCGGTGTATAGACTGGGCAGGTGGCCAGCCCATCACAGACGTGTGTGCTGTTACACTGCATTTTATTATAGTTTGTTTATCACCTGAGCACGCTGATGCCATGTGACCGTTTGTCACAGGAAGTGGGGATTTTTTACAGGTAAAGGGGGCGTGATCGTAAACGATGATGATGAGAACTTCAGAGGCTGACCCTGACAGTAAGGGGAGGTGCTCTCATCCTACGTGTGTTAATATACGTCACACACCACCCAGCCACCATCTCGTCACAGAGAGAAAGCTTTGTGTCAAGAACATCTGGAAACATCTGGCGCGGTCACTGTGTGAACCATGTGACGGCGTGGGTCTGGGTCGTACCATCTCCAGGTCGTGGATCTTCGCCCGCAGTAGCAGGTTGTCTTTCTCCAGCGTGTGCAGTTTGTCACAGCGCCCCCGTGAGGCCGACAGCTGCTCCTCCAACAAAACCTTCGTCTCCAGCAGGGTCAGGTTGTCTTCGCGGAGCTCCTGGAGCGCGCACGCAAGCACACACACGCACGCACACACACACACACACACACACACACACACACACGCACGCAAGCACGCACGCACACACACACACACGGTCAGATTAAGTGCAGAAATGTGTTCGGTGTGAGGACATAAACAGAAACATGAAAATATTAAAACCATGAAAATAATCGTTCACCCCTTTGTCTTTTTTTTCTGTCAGCAACGACATTAAAACCACCTGACATCACCAGGCCCCTCCCCCGAGTGGAGGTGGTGTGGATGCCACACACCTCTGCAGGTGTCCTGGAAGCTGTGCGGTGAGGTCTGTGTACATCACTCTCAGTCAGGCATTAACCGCCTGACAGAGGGCGCCGCCACGGAGGCGTGTGCAGGTCTGTGGTTAGGGAGGGGATCAAACATGAAAGCAGGACCCAGGTGTCCCAGCTGAACACCACCCGGAGCACCACCCGGTCTGCACACACTGTTGTTCTTATGCTCATCTGTTTACAGCGTTCAATTGTCGCTCCTTACACAGACTGTATGCAGAAGATGGGAATAGCCAGGTATTTGTCTGTGAAGGTTCTCAGTCATCCAGGTCATCGTAGTCTAAGGAGCTTGGAAAGAAAAGCGTCTGGACTTCAAGTTGCTCTCATCCAAGAAGCTTCTTCAGTTCTAAGGTCAAATGGTGGAGAGTCCCAGATTTAAACCCAGTGGGAGTTTCCCCCCACAGAGGGACAAAGGACCCCTGATGATCCTCTAATCACATGAGCCAAGGTGTGAAAGCGGGTGTGGGTCTGGGACTCTCCAGCATTTGACCTTAGAACTGAAGAAGCTTCTCGGATCAGAGGTGAAACATCTTCAAGCAACTTGAAGTCCAGACGCTTTTCTTTCCAAGCTCCTTAGACTAGCCCTGTATTTGACTCCCTTTTGGAGCCAGCCTGAAGCGGACGCCAGAGGACCCACAGCTTCCTGTTTCAGGCGGCGTGCGGAGGTGGTGGTGGTGTTTGTCGGTGGCTTTAATGTGGAGGCTGCTCTGTGGTGAGACGCTCTGGTTTTACCTCCACTCGGGTTTTGTAGAAGTGAACGTCGTTGAGCTTCTCTTTGCATCTGCTCAGTTCGGTCTCCAGGCGGTCGACGCGAGCGGCTCGTTCCCGCATGGAGTCCACCTCGTCCCGGTACACCCGGGCGGAGCGCGCCTCGACGGACAGAGACTGGTTCTGAAAAATAAAACAGGAACACGTTATCGTCACTTCCTTCCTGTTATTAATCCAAACCTCACGATAAAAGCGCCGCCACCATCCAACCACTCTGTACGAACCCAGAGCAGCAGCCTGCTTAAACTTCTTCTATACAAACGCTCTGATCTCCTGATGCTCTGTAATCTGTTGGTAATTTAAATGCTGAAGCCGTGCAGGATTACACGTCATCCTGTTGTACACTTATTAATCTCTGCTGCGTGCTCAAAACCAGTTCATCAAACTGGGACAAAGTGACTGAGACCACTGCAGAGGGGGATGACCCTCCATCAGATTACATGTGAGTCTAATCCCAGCTCTGTGAGAGGACCGTGTTAGAAATAATCCATCGTGCAAACCATGTTCAGCTGGACAGAGCCGTCCTCCAATCACAGCCCACAGAGAGCAGGTCAAAGGTCAAACTGATCGATCCTTTTATGTAGAATATGGGCTCATCTTCAACCTGATGCAGCGTCGTTCCTGCTGAGGAGCGGTTCCAGCTGCTCCAGATGTTTCCAGCCTGTATTCAGTCACCGTCCGCCCTCACAGGCCGCCACAGAGCTCCGCCCCGAACACCTTCGCCTCATCAGCCGTCAGATGTTTCAACAGCTCCGACTTCTCCATCTTTCTGTTGCTCCTGGAACAACTTCATGGCAGATCCAAAGTGAGCAGATAAGAAATGCTCAGGTTGAACATTGGATGCTCTCTGTGGACCATCTTTAAATAATTACAGGCTCTGTTTTTGCTTCCTTTTAGGAAGCATCCCCTGCAGACGAGGATTCTCCCAAAAGCTGAGCACGACTCACACCGGGACGCAGGAAAACGAGCTTCCACAGAAACGCTCCTCACGGACACATGACCGCCTACTGTGGCTCAGCGCGTCAGTGATGTGTGACTCGTCCTGTTTCTCACCTCCTGTTTTAGTCTCTGCAGCTCCTGATCCAAACGCTCAGCTTCATGCCTCGAATCCATCAGCTGCTCCGTCTTCTCCTCCCTGCACACAGACACACACACACACGCACGCACGCACGCACGCACACACACACACACACACAGTTAGTTATCTGACGCCAGCAGCACGCTCGCTCTGAGAGCACCCTGCTATTTCAGTGGTTAACGTGGTCGAGGTCGTGTGTTAGATTTCGTGGCTCCGTTTGTCTCTAAACTGTTTCCTGTCGGTCACCAGTTAAACACACGTCCTGTCAGCGTCGTTATGGAAACACCATCGGCGCTCTGACCTTCATGTAAAAAACAAAAACAAAAACGTGTGAGTGTGTTCAGCAGAGAGCTGCCTGGGTCAGTGAGTAACGCAGGCGTGCCTGCTGTTAACCTCCAGTCACGTGTCTCCGCCCTGTGATTACAGCGGCGTGGTCGTGTACACACGGCCTGTGAGATGTGCTGGAGCCTCGTTAGCGTTAGTTTGAGGTAAACATTACAGCTCGGGCTCGTCAGACTTTATTGGACGGGCGTGTTTGAAGGCGGAGACTCACAGCTCCTGTCTGTATCTGCGGAGCTTGGCTTTGGTGTCGGCGAGCTCCACGGACAGATGTTGCTTCTCTTCCTTGGAAAGCGCCGCCCCGGCCGAGCCGCCATTATTCACTCCCGCCCCCACGGAGCTCCGCCCGTGCTCTGGGCCGATCGTGCCCAGGACCCTGCACCCGTCCTGGGGCTGCTGACTGGACAGGTAGTCCCTCTCCTGGGTCAGGTCCACAATCACCTGTAAGGCAGGTGTCAGAGTGGGAAACGTGAACACTTCAGGTGAAATATGTTGAATCTCGTGTCAACAACAACAACGGACGTGAGATCGATGCGATCGGTCCAATCAAAGCTTCACACGTGACCTGCAGTCCTTTAAAGCTTAACCAGACAAACGTTCTGACCACACACTGAATATGAGCTACTGTGACCTCCCGTCAACAACACATCACAGAACGTCACATGGATCATTGAAGGCGACCAATCACGTTATTCTGAGACGTTACAGTTTTATCATCTCTCCTTCAGTTAAACACGACCTTCAGACTCAGCGCCTTGTTCACAGACATCACGGCGTCTGCGTCACGCTGACGACATGTGTATAAAGCTGCGTCTGCGAGCATACCTCGCTGGCTTTGTCTCGCTGGTCGATGAGCTGCCGCAGGGACGCCGCCATGTTGCGGGACAGAGGCTCGAGCTCCTCGTGGATGATCTCTGCTCCTTCCTCCAGCCAGGACAGGTCCAGAACATTCAGCTGGTTATGAGTCACCTGACACACACACACACACACACACACACACACACACACACACACACACACACACACACACAAATTATTTATTTCATTAAATTTAACATTTTTTCTTTTTCCATTTAAATGTAGTTTTCTTTTATTTATAAGTTTATTCTTTGAGCTCATGACACGCTTCGAGTGACGCCCATCATTTGCATAGTGAAACAGAAAAATGAAAACAGGCAGCAGGTACACACTAACGTGAGGGTGCTGCTGCTGCAGCGGCTCCACCTGGGACAAACTTTCCCGGGTGGAGACGCTGCAGCAGCACCATGTGATCAGTGATCAGCAGTGAAGCTGCTCTCAGCAGGTTTCAGTCACCTCCTGGATGTGAGACACGATGGCAGCCTGAGTCTGGATGTCCAGCAGCTTGATCTTCTCGATCATCTCCTCCTTACGCTCACACTGAGGAGACACACACACAGACAGACACACACAGACACACACAGGAAATGAAGGATTAAAATCAAATAGCAGCTGTTGCTTCTCTTGTTTGTTTGGTGGGTTATTAGTTATTTAGTTATTCAGCATCTTTAAAAACAAGATGACAGACGTCAGAAAACTTAAGTTAAAAATGAAAGTGTGTGTTACACATTAACAGCACAAAGAGTAAATAAAAAAACGACGTCACATAAAAGTCGAGATGGTAAATACGTCAGTAACAGGTGGACTCGGAGGTGAGGGGCTGTGCAGTTTATATCCACGACCCAATAAACACTGATGATGTAACTGCATGAGCACACGTCTGCTTTCTTACATTCAAAGCACAAAAATGAATCTTTGGATTCTGCTCTAAACTCACGTCTGTCTGGCCCACACATCGCAGACTAACTGCAGTTTTTAAAATCCAGCGTGCTCGACACGTCCGGGCTGATGATGTCAGACGTACAGCAGCAAAGCTCAGAGAAATCAAAGCATAAAGGTTCAGGTGGGAGGAGGCAGGTGTGCAGGTGAACGTTAGCAGGTAGAGGGCTGAGGGCAGCGTCATCCTCACTGATGTGCTTCTACCGTTAGTTGTCAGGTGTGTGTCTGAGGGCGGGGTCACAGCTATTTAATGCAACAACAACATCATTTCCCTGTGGTTTATCCTCCCTCCCTGTTCCCCTCATGGCCTTCCTCTTCCCGGGAACCAGTCGAGCAAGTGCAGGGAGGGAGGGAGACAAAGGGGGAGAGGGAGGGAGACAAAGGGGGAGAGGGAGGGAGACAAAGGGGGAGGGAAATTAGGAAGCTGGGAGAAACAAACAAAGAGAGGTGAGAAGAAGACGAGGTCGCTGCATTCAGAGGGATGGGAGAGCTGAACAGACCGAGCCCACCTGTCAGCACAGGTAAACTCAGCTCGATACATCTGGATAAATCACTTCCAGGGAGGAGCGGCTTCCAGCAACACGCTAAATAACCTGACTGTGATCAGGATCCACGGGGTTAACAGAAAAACAATTGACTGGTGTTTAAAAGAGCGAGAAGCCCCGCCCACATTCAGTCCAGCCCTCGTCAGCAGGAACACGAAGCGACGGCTGTGCTCAGACATGCAAAACGACACACACACAAACACGATTCCTGGGAGAGGCAGTGTGTGTGTGTGTGTGTGTGTGTGTGTGTGTGTGTGTGTGTGTGTGTGTGTGTGTGTTACCTGCACAGCACAGCCCAGAATCAGCAACAAAAGCCTCTTCAGTTCCTCCATGCTCTTTGCTGAGGGAACAAAACAGAGAAACTCGTGGTTACAGTCATGCCACGGCTCGATACACGGCGCCATGATGTCACGCCACAGCAGCAGCCGAGGTGCGGCAGTCACGCCGTCCGACCTCTGAGAACATCTGAGAAATAAATACAAACCACTTTTCAATCACACACACAGGTTTAAATCCTGCATCTTCAGCAAAGCGAAGGGCTGATAAAGTCTGTAAAGACGAGGCTTAAAGCACGAAAGCTACACAACTCTGTCACACACACACACACACACACACACACACGTTTTCCCAGGAAACCTCCAGAATTTGGGACCCCTGGACTTGATGAGTGTGTCTAATGAAACCGTCTGCACCTGTCAGCACAGCCTGGCCTCAGGTGTGTGATCAGCTGATCTCTGTGCACAGACGCTCAGTGCGTTCGAGCGTCTCAGCTCTCCTCACTGCGAGGACACTGTACGGGTGGCGCGTATGGACGAGCCGCCCCGGAGCAGCGGGCGGTCTCGTTCTAACAGCTGGGACAAAGTTTGAAGGGATGAGCACCGCCTGCTGCACCTGCGCAGATGAGATGGACTCATGTGTTTTCTGATCCTAACTGGACTGACTGCAGTTTATCTTCACTGCGCTGGTCGGGCGCTTTGATCAGCGTGTGGAGTAGAGCTGGGCGATATAAGATTTTTTCATATCACGATATGTTTTTTTCATTTCAGGCGATAACGATATATATCACGATATAAGCCAAATAACTATATTTGTAAGATTTAAATGTGCCGTTGCTCACAAGTAAAATGTGAAATAATCAGCAGCTTGTTTTGATTTAAATATTTATTTCCCATAATAAGTTCAACAGGGTAGATGTACTTAAGGAACATGAGACTTTTTCAGATAAATAAAGGCAAATATTGCAAACTACACAAAAGGCAGCCGCTAAAGCGTTTAAGTTTCAAAATAGAACAAACAAAACAGACTAAATTGTCAATTCCACTTAGAAATGATTAATTATAAAAATAAATCTTGGTTTGTTTTACAGAAGAACAGACAAAACTGACTAACTTTTGTCAATATCAAATAAACTGAGAACTAGAAGGAAATTCTCAATCTCTCCTTGTTGTATAGCTGAGCTTTTCAAACAGTTTTAACAGTTACTTTAGTCTGACAAAAGCCGAATTAGCGCTTCCAGTCAGAGACTGAGGCTACGTCCACACGTACACGGGTATTTTTGAAAACGGAGATTTTCCGTTTTCGTTTTAAAAAATAATCCCGTCCACACATAAAGGCAGAAATGAAGGAAAACGCTGCTATGAACATGCCAAAGCAGCAGGTGGAGCTAGATTCCTAACCGTGCAGAAACGTTGGCCAATCAGAAGTCTAGAAGCCTCGGTGGGAAAAAGTAAACAAAGCTGGGGCATAGAAGCAGAACCGAGTCGTATGTGTGGACGGACAGTAACTGTGTGTATATGTAAGCATTTAAACACTGCAGAGAGTAGAATTAACAGTAACAGTATTGTAGAAATTCATTTCACCGAAACAATAACATGGCGCACAGTGTGACGTCAAAAAATGCGCACACCTTTGACGCTGCGTTTTCTCAGTTTTTCTAGTCCACACGTAAATGCAAAAACGGAGTTTTCAAAAATCTTCGTTTTCAGTGACCAAAAACGCCGTTTACGTGTGGACGAAAGGTGCAAACGCATAGAAAAATCTGCGTTTTCAAAAATACCCGGGTACGTGTGGAAGTAGCGCATGCACCAGTTTATTGTATTTCCAGACTTGCTTTCGGCACAATTTACAGTGCAAGCTACTCTGTTTTTTGTCAGACTTGAAATAGCCGAAATACCTTCACACTACGGAAGCCGACAATCTCTCCGGCATTGGAACCATCATCTGTTTTCTCTTCGGTCACGCTCGGTTGATTTTTCTAGCCGCCACACTCATTTCCTCCATTACCCGGGCGGCACGGTGGCTGGCTGCTTCCCAAACAAATACACATGTGCGGCTTGGCACTTGTGCTGTACGTAATAAGTCACGTGACGTGACGCTGCAGCTGTGATTGGTTCAGCTCTGCACTACGTAATTGGATTGGCTGGGTTTTTTTTTGTGTGTGGCGAGGTCTATCGCGATAGTTTAATTTTTCTATCGAGAAAAAGTTATATCGCGATACATATCGTTATCGTTCTATCGCCCAGCTCTAGTGTGGAGGTACATTCACCTGTGGAGGTGTGTCGACGTAAGCGTTACCTGATATCGGGTCCTTGGCGATGCAGAGGATGTTGGGCAGCGGCATGACGATCAGCTGCTGCAGCGTGTCCTGTGACCGAGCGAAGAAGGAAAAGTGTCATTACAGTGACGATGATGACATCACATCAGGAAACAAAGCATGCTTAGCAATGAGGCGTTCAATGATCCACGTTCAGACCTTTCACATGTTCCCACCGCCAAAATAAAGGTGTTAATATTTCTGCGTTTTATAAATATTAACATGCCAGTGAGTCCTGCAGAGGCTAATGTGTGATCCAGTGTGCCTAAGAGGACCAGCTTCATTCACAGGTACAAGCTTCAGTCACTCGGTTTGTGCTTCATGAAATCAGAAGAAACACACACCTGTGTGTGTGTGTGTGTGTGTGTGTGTGTGTGTGTGTGTGTGTGTGTGTGTGTGTGTGTAGTCAGCCAACAGGAAACACCCTGCTGCTGACAAAGTGTGTGTCAGGAAATAAAAAGCCCACGAGGAGGGAATGCTTTCCATTCCAGAACACTATCCCACACACACACACACACACACACAGATTTAATATGAACACTTTTCAAAGCAGAGCAGAGGAGGTGGGCCTTCATCAGGTCAGAGGAGGGCTGAGAGGGAAACGTCCTGATCGGAGTGTTTACAGGAGGAGGGAAGTGGCTGTCAGCAGCAATCCATCCAAACCTGCCCGGTGTCTCACACACACACACACACACACACACACACACACACACACACACTCGTATTTATCCACAGCCTGGCACTGATGGCACAAAGCAGACCCCACCCTGCCATGTGACCCCAGCTCAGCGTGTGCGGGAACGTGTCAGAGCTGAGCCTAAAATCCACCAACGTTTCAGGAAAAGTGGAAAATTAAAGCCAAGTTTACAAAGTTTGAATCGTTTATCTCGATGCTCTGAGCCGTTTTCACGCCTGCAGCTCTGAAAGAAGGAACTGAGCATTTCCATGTTCACACGTCGGCCTGCAGCTGATACGTTGGTCCTGGTTCTGGTCCACAGATCCTAGACCAGAACCAGAACCTGCAGCTGTTGCAGAAGCACATGGAGGAGATGAAGTGCACGGGAAATTCAGAAAGGTTCCCGTGCCCCTGCAATCAGCTCCAACTTTGGTTTCAGTAAAGGAGACGAT